TACATTATCAGATTAACGAATATTGCTTGGATTTAGTCATACCTAAGTTAATTTTGAATAGCCTAAATACTATGTTATTTCTGCAATTTTTGTGGACAAACCTCCAATTACTATGAACAAATCGGAAAGACAAGTCACATTAACTCAGTTTTTATTTATTTATTTACGTATCTTGTTGGATTTTCTTCCTAAAAAAATTTATCCTAAGTTTTTATATCACTAGTGTTATTTTCGGCAGTGATTTCTGAAAAAAAATTACTTGCATGCTGAATATTTCTTTCCAAGTATTGGATTAATTTGAATTCATCATTATGTTTTATTTTATCATGAGAAGCCCAATATGGCCTCATATGGGCTTCGCTTGACTCTACAAATGAAGCAATTTGTAGCCAAGCAAATAATTTCATGATACCATTAAATTTTGTAGCCGAGTAATATCATGGTGTTTATTTCTAAATTGTTGCTCAGGTTTGAAACTAATATAACATCATGAAAGCTATATAAAATTCTCATATTTTTTAAAATTCTCTTGAATTTGCTATGATATATATTCTGGAGAAATGAATAAAGCTTGAGTTTATTTTAAACATTTTGATTGTCAAGTTAGAGCATCTCTATCAAATCCCTTATAATAGCTTTTTGCTATTATAAGGAATTGATTCTTCAAAAATCCTTCCCATCAGATCCTTCATATAATCCTTTAAATTTAGGATTGCAACAATCACTCCTTATTTATAGGGAGTCACTGTACCTCCCTTATATTTGATATTTGACCATGGTCGTCCACCCGGATGTCCCAGATGAAACAACATGGGCAAAAATTACTTCGCCGGTGGTCCACCCAGACATCCGGCCGGCCAACCCCCTGAACGTCCGGTCCTTGGTTTGTACTTCTGCCGCTTTCTTCTTCAATATATGGAGTTGCCTTTTGAGCCTCCATTGTTGTCTTTATTTTATATTGTTTAATTATTTTATTATTAAAAAAATATTAAATTTAAAAATAATTAAAAAGATTATTTTAATAGAATAGAGAAAGAATATGGAATTTGTTGGAGAAGGTAGATGAAAAAGTGATTTCTAAAATAGGGAATGAATTTTTTAATAATATTTTAGGATAAAATTTAGGTAAATTGATAGGGATGCTCTCACATCCAAATAGCTTACTTTGTTCAAGGCTAGCTTTCTTTTCTTTTTGTCTTTTTATTTTTTATTTTTCCTTCTGCTTTAGGAAAGTTGGTAATCAAAATCAACCCATATTAGCTCAAATAAACTATATACAATTTTCTTTTGCTTATTCTTTCCCCCATCAGAAGGCAAAGAATTGTACTTGGAGACAAAAGTAACGCAAGATATACCTTGAACAAAGTAGTTGTGTCAATTTTAATAATTTCCACACAAAAATTTCCACACAAAGAATTGTACTTGGAGATAAAAGTAACGCAAGGTACACGTTGAACAAAGTAGTTGTGTCAATTTCATTCTTAGCATAAAATAAGACTGTTGTCCGGGTTGTGAAACTCATAATAGATTCTATTTCAACAATTTAAATTGTACAACTTCTATCCCTTTCCAACAGGATTAGAAGGTTTAGTGTGTGTGTGTGTATAGTTACACCACCAGCTCTATTTTAATAATTTGATTCCTTACTTTTAAATTTTTGTGTGGAGATTATCCTCCTGTTACATTGATTTAATAATTGTAGTCACTTAATTTCATTATATTTGGCTTCCAAAAAAGAAACATTTTGTTTATAAAAGGGTAATATATTACACTTTTCACTTAAATTTTTAGGTGAATTTCACTTTGACTTCTCATTTTTTAATTGCAATAATTAAGTACTTAAATTTAACTAATGTTTGATTGGGAGGAGGGGGGGAGGGGGGATTTGTATGAAAATTCTCTCTTTACATTTTTAGAGAGATACTTTGAAAATGTTTCAGGTGCATACATTATCAGATTAACGAATATTGCTTGGATTTAGTCATACCTAAGTTAATTTTGAATAGCCTAAATACTATGTTATTTCTGCAATTTTTGTGGACAAACCTCAAATTACTATGAACAAATCGGAATGACAAGTCACATTAACTCAGTTTTTATTTATTTATTTACGTATCTTGTTGGATTTTCTTCCTAAAAAAATTTATCCTAAGTTTTTATATCACTAGTGTTATTTTCGGCAGTGATTTCTGAAAAAAAATTACTTGCATGCTGAATATTTCTTTCCAAGTATTGGATTAATTTGAATTCATCATTATGTTTTCAAGTCACCATATTTTATCATGAGAAGCCCAATATGGCCTCATATGGGCTTCACTTGACTCTACATATGAAGCAATTTGTAGCCAAGCAAATAATTTCATGATACCATTAAATTTTGTAGCCGAGTAATATCTTGGTGTTTATTTCTAAATTGTTGCTCAGGTTTGAAACTAATATAACATCATGAAAGCTATATAAAATTCTCATTTTTTTTAAAATTCTCTTGAATTTGCTATGATATATATTCTCGAGAAATGAATAAAGCTTGAGTTTATTTTAAACATTTTGATTGTCAAGGAATTGATTCTTCAAAAATCTTTCCCATCAAATCCCTTATATAATCCTTTAAATTTAGGATTGCAACAATCACTCCTTATTTATAGGGAGTCACTGTACCTCCCTTTATATTTGATATTTGACCATGGTCGTCCACCCGGATGTCCCAGATAAAACAACATGGGCAAAAATTACTTCATCGGTGGTCCACCCAGACATCCGGCCGGCCAACCCCCTGAACGTCCGGTCCTTGGTTTGTACTTCTGCCGCTTTCTTCTTCAATATATGGAGTTGCCTTTTGAGCCTCCAGTGTTGTCTTTGTTTTATATTGTTTAATTATTTTATTATTAAAAAAATATAAAATTTAAAAATAATTAAAAAGATAATTTTAATAGAATAGAGAAAGAATATGGAGTTTGTTGGAGAAGGTAGATGAAAAAGTGATTTCTAAAATAGGGAATGAATTTTTTAATAATATTTTAAGATAAAATTTAGGTAAATTGATAGGGATGCTCTCACATCCAAATAGCTTAGAAATTACAAAATGTTTCTATATTTCAAAAAAAAAACCAATATATATATATATTTTGAACAGTTAAGAATGGAAGCTCATGTTTTCAATTTTATTATCACATCTGAATTTTAAAATAAATATTTTCTATTTTAAAAAAAGAAAAAGAAAAAAATTGGATGTAAAAATATTTTTCCGAATCTTGGATTTCATTGTGTTTCCAAGTGGGCCAACTATGGGTTTTAGATTTGATTCGTTGCTTCGTGGGCAATTGGATTGGGCCTAGTTGGGCTTTCTAAGTCAATTTCTCTGGATCTCTTTCTGTGGTTTGGGTGTTCCAGTCTCGGTCCATATAGCTTTAGAGTTGGACTAACAGCATTACTATTGTGGAGTAGCCCTTCTTTTTTATTATTTTGTAATTTTGGTTGGATATTGTTGGTTTTTTGTTTCCTTTCTTTTTTTTCTCGTATTCATCTAGCGAAAAAAAAAAAGAAAAAGAGAACAAAAGCAAGCATTGTCTAGTTTTCGCATTTGTCACTTTAGTATCAAATTTGACTAGAGAATTGACACATTGATGGAAAATATTTTTTGAGAAAGTCTAGTCAAATTTTAATTTTTGCATGTGCTTTAACACACCACAGAAGGGAAAAAAAAGGTGCAAGGTCATTTTGGAAGGAAAAAAAAAAATCAACCCAATGATACTTGATGGATTGATAATTTTTCAATCTACCGTCAACTTGCCTATCCTCAAAATTTGGCTAGTTGGATGAATATTTTGGCATTCCAAATCAGCAATTTATGTGAGCTTTGGTGAATAGAAAAAAATAACGTCAAAAATTTTTTAAGAATTTTTTTTTAAGGTCTCTAAGAGTAAGATTTTATAAGATAAATTATATATAATATTTTTATAGTAGTTAGGGTCTCTTAACATTTTCATAGAGAAAATTCAACATAGAAAAATTTCACCCCAACATAGAAATTTCAATTATCACGATTTTTTTTTGAAATTTCTCTAGTATGATTATAAATAAATTTTATTGAAAGATCTTATCTAATAAAAAAAGCATATTGCACGTCTCCTACTATCCAAAATTAGAGAGAGATGTTTTACTATTTTTTTTTTCACAATTTCAATTAAAAGAATATATTATTTATTTCAATTCTCAATACAAAAATCACAAACTAATCAAATGACAGATGTTATTCAAATCATTTTTCATAAATTAATATAAAAACAATTAATCTAAGAAAAGTATGCAACAAAAATGAGAAGGGTGGCATATGGGATAGATTGTGTATAAAGCAAGTGTAATGTAATTTGTATACACATACAAATAAATTGATAAATTTTAAATGGGAAGTGAACAACCCACTCAAGTTAACTTGTACGCTTTTTTTAAATGGCACAAGTTAATTTGAGCCTTGATAAAAAATAAAAATAAAATAAAAAAATCATATCGTTGTTATCCATATTCCTCTGCACTTTACCTTGCAAGTCAAAAGTAGTATGCATGTTGTTGTGAATGAATGAAGTCATTATTATTATTTTTTTTGGGTGGCACAAAATGGATGATGTCAGAAAAATTGTTTTTTTAGTTTAAGGATATTACGTGGACATACTCTTAATTATTCATAAATTACTATATTTTTTATACTTGCTAATAATTTGTCACAAAATTATAAATTTTACAATTTTTACTAATCAAAATATATTCGAAGTATCACAAAATCGTACCTTAAACACACCAAATAACTTCTCATGGAGTCATTGCTTGCATTGTTCCATCCAAGAAAAAAAAAAGAAAAAAAAAATTCAGGAAAAGAAAACAAAAGAAAGCGAAACTCTAGTAAGATCAAGAAGATGTGAAGAGGAAAGAAAGTACTAGAAAGTGTAAGAAAGAACATTATCAGAAAATAATAAACAGTTTGCTGGTGGGGGGTTGTGGGGGCATTGGTTAGCTGGAGACATACATACAATACAAGGTTACGAAAATATTTACGCACGTGTTCCTCACGCGTGTAGACGAATCAAGAAGTTTCAAGCACCGAACAACTTCCCTCTTTCATTAATTCCCCACAACCCTCACCCTTTCCATCCATTAAGTAACCCAAACCTCTCCAAACCCAGTAAACAACAATCCCATGCACACACTCTCTGTCTCTCTCTCTGATTCTTTTTCTCACAGACAGGGTTAAACTTGTTTGTTTAGAATATGTGGCAAACACCGCCTCACCGGAAAAATGACGTGGAAGCGGGGGCGAGCCCGCTGTACCCAACGATGCTGGAGAGTCCGGAGCTACGGTGGGCCTTCATTCGCAAGATTTATTCAATTTTGTCTCTCCAATTGCTCATCACCATCGCCGTCGCCGCCGTCGTCGTCACCGTCCGCCCTGTCGCTCTCTTCTTCTCCACCACCGCCGCCGGCCTCGCCCTCTATATCATAATCATCATCACCCCCTTCATAGGTACTCTTCTTTGCTTTTTTTTCCCTATCAGAATTTGCTTGTTCTACTCTTGGGAATTTAGTAGTGCTTATAGGTGTTTTGATTTTTGTGGTTGCAGTGTTGTGCCCTTTGTATTACTATCACCAGACACATCCTGTGAACTATTTTCTCCTTGGGTTGTTTACTGTTAGTCTTGCCTTTATAGTGGGCTTGACCTGTGCTTTTACCAATGGTAAGCAATCTCCATCTTAATCTTTTGCTTTCTTTTTTTAATATGCAATTGTTCCCAACTCAATCAACCTTAGTCTCATTGTCTTCAAGTTTATCCAAATTGGGTGTGAAGTGGAACCCAATTTGGTAACACCCTGAATTAAGTTTCATAATTTGTTTTGTGGTTGAGGGTTTTTTTTTTTTTTAATCCCATAATAATTTTCAAATTAACTAGATAATTGAGGTGTTTTCAAAGAGGGAATTCTAATGTAAGAAGCGGATATAGGATAACTTGAGTAATAGGTTTTGCTAAGAATCTTCAGCTAGGCGTGAATTGATCATCCAAGAAAACAGATATTGTATGGACTTGTTGCTTTGTTAGGATTTTTGCTCACTCTTTGTGGTGTGTGATCTTAGGATAAAGTATATATGGTTATTAATCTCTTACTTACATCATGATGAAACAACTGGCTACTACAGAGTAATGGAGTTTAATTGAACGTTGCAATAAACCTAATTGTAAAATCTTTCATTCTTGTTTTGAAAGTAGTACAACTATCAAAAGTCTAGGTGCTTTCTTGTTCATGCTACGGTTGTTTTGATCTGTGTTACTAGAAAACGCTAGTGAATTACGTATTGGTATGCACGTTTCGAAACATGGTATACCTTTGTTTCAAAACGGTAAATTTAGTGATCCAAACTGATTCCAAAAGCTTTTTTCAATATATGTCTTTAAATGTTATCTTAGGAGGAAAAAATTCAAATACAATGAACTAAAATTTAAGGTGAGTTAAATTTGACAAGACAAATATCAAAAAATGGGTCATAATGCTCATAGAAATATTATATTTTATTTGACATCTAATGGTTAAAAAAAAAAATTACTCTAGAAGTATCTTAAATTCTTAAGTGTAATATATAGAAGTCTATCCTTATCGTACTACATTTTAGAGCATGTAGCGTACCACGTTCCCGTTCCCGTTCCACGTACTGGAACGATCCACATTCTAGGTAGCATAGGTTCTGATTTCTTGGATGTTTTTTGGCTTGTATATTGTAAAATATTGGTTTTCCATTACTTGAATGATTTGGAAGAACTAACAAACGCGGAGGGTATTTCATTTCTTTCATTGGTTATGTCGGTTGTTTGATTTTTCAAATTGTGTAATTTCATTTGGTAACAGAAAAGGTTATTTTGGAATCTGTAATCTTAACGGCTGCGGTGGTTATAAGTCTCACGTTGTACACATTTTGGGCCGCAAGGAGAGGCCATGATTTCAACTTTCTGGGGCCTTTCTTGTTTGGGGCTATATTTGTGCTCATTATCTTTGCCCTGATTCAGGTATGTACAGATATGTCTTTGCCATGTCTTTCTTTTGTCACTGATCTGATGAGTTTGCATTTCTTGGTTGTTGGGTTTCAAAATCTCAATTCTTGCTTTCACTTCTTGCAGGTGCTCTTTCCATTGGGTAAGATCTCTGTTATGATCTATGGGTGTCTGGCATCGATCATATTTTGTGGGTACATCATATACGATACAGACAACCTGATCAAGCGTTATTCCTACGACGAGTACATTTTTGCTTCTGTGGCTCTGTATCTGGATATCATCAATCTCTTTCTGTCATTGTTGACTGTTTTCCGAGCTGCTGAATAGTTATAGAGAGATCCCTCAGTTTTCGAGTCTTTCTCCCTTCTTTTTTGTAAAGTTTATTGCGAAATACGTAAAGATTGAAGGCATAACATGTTCATATTATGTTGCTTTATATTAGTGAATAGCTAATTGAATGGAATGTTTTGCTCAAAGTGTAATGAAGTTCCAAGTTCAATACTCTCTGTCCCTTCTCTATGTAGTATTCCAGAACTAGGACAATACTAACCCATCTTTGTTAGGGGGTTATATGTATTTTTCAGAGATGGTGGTCAGTCTAGTTTGTATGAGAATATGTGAAACATGTAGAGAAAATTATTATAATTTTTTTTTTAACATGTGCTTGATAACATGAGTACTTTTGACACTGCCTTTCACAGAATTATAAAACAATAGAGAACACACAAATCTGAGTCATTTATTAATACAAAGCATGGGAATTAAATTATATCAATGATTATTCATTATCAAACTAAAGCATATAGACGAAGATGGGAAACAAGAACATAACAGACTTGAAATTATATATATATATAGACAGTAACTTGGAGCCACGCTATGGATCCTTCTTGAATACTGTAGTCGATAAAAGCTTAATATAGAGTGGGCACTGTGCTATGACAAAAAACATCACAGGTAGAAACCCCACTAAACATTCAACAACCTGTGCTCGTTTGATTATGTTTCAGAGGACGAAGAAATGTCCACTGCAAAAAGACACCAGCATGGAAGCTATTGATATAAAAAGTGCCATCAAACCTATCACGAGCTTTCTGGGCAAGTAAACATGAAAGTCCATGGCTTGGTGTCGAGAGGTGAGAATGGAAAGGAACATAAACACTGCCGTGAGTGAAAAGAAGGGCGCCATGAGTGATGAGATGTCAAGGACCTCAAACATGCCCTCTCATTTAAGAATTGGTGTGGACTCCACCAAGGCCACCTGGTAAGCTGGCTGACATGGCAAAAGCGAAGGTTGCAATGAGTGCTGCAACAATGTTGCAAGAGTCCAAAGTTTTAATTAGCCACACTACAAAAAAATTGTCATATAGTAGCGGCCAAAACTGTCGCTAAAAGTAACAAAAATCGTCGCTAAAACCTTGCACACTTTTACCTGCGGTTTGAATAGCGACGGCCAAGGCGCTGCTATAGAGCCTTCAGCATAGGTTTATTGTGACACTTTTATCAAGCGCTGGTATAAATATTTCTCTTGCGACGGTTAGTGTAACGACGGTTATAAACGTCGCTATATCTCAAATTTTACCCATTGCTTGATACCTTTATAGCGACGGTCTGACTACTGCTACAACCTGTGCTTTTGCGACATTTTGTCAACTACTTTTATATTTTAACTCTATTCCATCAGTTTTACACCGTCGCTATAGCCATTTATTTTTTTTGAATTTTATTTGTAGCGATGGTTATTAACTGCGATTATAAGCTATGTTTTACTATTCAATTACCAATAATATATAGTTTGAAATTTTTAATGGTTTATCCCTGCTTACATAATTACCATTATATATATAAAAGCACTATGTTATTCTAATGGCTCCGTAGTCAATAATTGTAAAAGATAAAAGAGTGCATTTTCATAATCTCAAAATATCCAAACACCTTAATTAAAAGGTTCATTACATAAGCTTGTCATATCAAAATAAATCAAATGTTTCTAGCAAACTAATAGTTACACCATAATCCAAAAGGTACATATAAACTTGTCACATGAGAATAGTACTCAAAAGTATTACTCATAACGCCATTTTATAAAGACCTCCATGAAACATGTTCAAATCAAGAAACGACATCCATTTTGATGCTTTCATATTGTCCTAGGTTCTGCAACAAAAACGACTTTGATGTTGATGCTTTCATATTGTCCTGTTTCCTGCAACAAAAATGATTAAATGAGCATAAGTATCATTTTCAATTTGAAAATCTATAAATCACATAATACAACATAGACGAGTGATTATTTGGTGGTCTTGGAGCATTACTCCATATCTCTTATCACTTGACACTCATCAAGTTCTCCAAACTTTTAATAAACCCTATTGAATCTCACAATTTTAACCAATAAATATTATGTATGTGAGTATGCCTATAAAAAAGTATGTCTATTTGAAAACTAAATTCCCAAGTCCAATTGGTTCAAAGAAAATGGAGCGACAAAAAATAAGTGATAATATAATATTTGGTATTGTTTATCATTTGTGGTTCTTAAGAATGCTAGAAACTCCAAAGAAAATAGCTTACAACATCATTGATAGACAGAAGGGATATAAACACAGGATTTTTATATTCCACAACCATGAAGGGGACAACTAGGAAATTCTTTTGAGTGTACACCATCTTCTCTAATCCAATTCACCCTTATATCTCTTTTAATTATTCAAAGTATGTCTAACATGTTTCTTCAATAAAATAACCAGCATTCAAACCCCCAACAAACAATTTAGAACAGTTTTTTGAAGTAACCCAACAATTTCGATTTCCAAAAATGCATAGAGAATTGCTAATTGAATAAATAAATATGCCACAATAACAACTAATCAGTTTTCAATATTGACTCATATTTCTCATTCAACAAACAGCCCAAAAATTTAGATAAAAAATTTCACATGCATACATGTTTGTCCTCCATTTGTATATATATGTATGTATTGGGATGACATAATAAAAGTTTGTTTGATTTCCACTAGCTTCTTTTCAAGATAAATGTTATCATACTATGCTACTTATATTTGTATGTTTCAAACACAACTCATTACAAATTAGACAATCTATTGGTTAGATACTAAAGCCAATATAGAATATAACAAATAAGCATTAGTCACTGAACCTTCATCATCAGTGACAGAGGGGCCCATGTTCTGCTGTTTTGCCCTATGGTGTGGAAAGTTTGGGCTAACATATTGAAGTATTGGAGGATGGTTTGGGTAATGCTAGGTTTAGTAGAGGGGCTTCTTCAATGGTGGGCAGGCACCAAATTCAAAAAGTTGGTTCTCAAAATTTGGAAACTAGTTACCTTAGCAGTGATGTGGTCAATTTGGGGGGCTTGAAATGACTGCCTATTCAATGTTAAGCAGGTAGATTGTGATAAATTAAAAGAATAACATGTGTGTGGGCATCATTTGATACTTAGTAGTTGCAAGGAAGGGGCTGAAGATGTAGCTTGAAGATTGCTTTGGATGTTGTTGTGTGACTGCATCAACAGCAAGTCAAGACAAGAAAGGGGTTGATGGTGTGGTTTGGTGGTTATTTTGGTTGCAACCATCATTCAAACCCCTTTTAATTAACAAGAGAAAAACATACCCTAGCCTAGTAAACCCCCCTAATTAAGAGAGAAAACAACAATAAGTATTTGAATCAGCCAATAAGTCCAAACATTAATTAGTAGCAGCCACTAATCAAGCAACCAACAACAACATCCAATGGTCTATTCTTTTGATCTTACACTAGAGTTTGATACGCTGCTAATATTAAAATTTGTAATGATTTGAAACATGAAAATAACATTAAAAAAGAGGACTTATAGTTTGTACCTCAACTAAAAATCTGATAATACCGGTACTTTGCATTTCTTCTTCCCTTAACCAGTCCTTATCTAAGTCATCTTCAAACTGAGGGTTAACCTCTAATTCTTAAGGTTGAGGATGTAGAACCTGTGATGTAGCATGTGAGAGATGTGACCAACTAGAGTATGATGAGCCATTCGATCGACTAGGCTATGAAGTTTTATTTAGCAAGTTAAGTTGTGAAGAGTTATTTGCTAGGCTAGGTTGTGAAGGGCCATTTGATCGCTTGTGTTGTGACTCATTCTCAATACTGCAAGTTGGAAATCGTTTCTTTGCCATATCTACTAGACAAACAATAGATGTAATTAATCAAAAACTAACATATTAATCAAATTAAATGAGCATTCTTTTTATTTTTATTTTTATTTTTATATCAGCAAAAGAAAAGGACCTTTATTGATGAATCATAAACTTACAATTGCAACGACAATATATCAATGAAAGATGGGCGCAAGCCAAATCAAGTCTGCCCAAATACAGCAGTGTACAAAATAAAAGCAGGCCTCTGTTTCTCCTCTGCTCCAGGAACTAATGCAGTCACAAAAAATTCCACTGCAACACTTCTCACCTTTAAAAAGAGCAGCAGTTCAAACTGCAGATGCTCTACTACCTCCTAAAGCTAGCTTACCCAAGACATAATCTAGTTTGATGAAGGTTATAGACAAAGCCACTTACACAATGGTGGATTGGGTATAAATTCAACTCACTCACACAATGGTGGATTGGGTATCAGTTTGTCTAGTTATTAGCAGCAAAGGCTGAAAATTGGAACCCTTGTTTTGACATTGAGCAAGTCTCTAGCAAAACTTACTAGATTCAATTTACAAGGATTTTCTACATAGGATGATCTACCCATAATATTTTTGGCTTAGTCGAATCAACCTTCTTCTTCGATCTACATATACAAATTTAAATCAGAGAAAGTTTAAAATTATGGATGGTATAATTTATTATTACCTTTGATTCCTTTCATCTACTATTTTATTATTGTTACCTTTTAGCTATAGGATAAATTCCACTTTACCCTCTTAAATTTTTACTAAATATCACTTCAAAAAAAGGTAACTTTTAAAGAATTGTTACATAAATAGATGAGAAATTGAGATATCATGTAAAAGCCACATGTATGTTTTTGCAAATTAAGTCTTGAAAAGCATTAAACCTGAGGCAACATACATGCTACTATACAACAAACTCCAAGTGCATGATTTGATCAACCACAAAACAGTGTTCAAGAGAGGAATTATATAATCACGTGATGAACAATATTTTTCTATAAAGTTGTGCTATATTAAGAGATTTAGATTATGTTTGGTACAATTTTGGAGTTATTTATTTATTTTGAGAATATATATAATAATGTTTGGTGTACCTTTTACTTATAATTTATGAGATAAAACTAAACATAAATAAATTAAAAAAACAAAGGAAGCAACCTATTTTACAACTAATATGAAAATAAATATTTGCTAGAGAAGAAAACTATGACAAACTGTGAGTTCTTTTACAGCTTTAAAGCAAAAGCTACATGCTTTGCTATTCGTTTTTCTACATGTTTTGTGGGATTGTATTGATGTGGTTTTGTGAGCATACATTTGAGGGGTTTATAATAATAAATAAATAGAAATGGAAAAAAAAAAAAAAATAGGAGCAACAAAAAGTGTGCCTGTGGCTTGGTATACAAGAGAGGCAATTGAATATAGGAGCCCACAGCCCATTATAATCTCCAGTATAATATACTATTTTTTGGATTTGTCCCTATGATATTGATGGTTTGGTTGTTGGTGATTTGAGATTGGTTTCAATGATATGAAGATATGTATTTGGGCATTTGTTTCATAGTTGCTAAACTAGTTAAAAAGGTGGAATGTTTCAAAGTTTTTATGTTGATAATAAATATTCTTTAATTATGTCTTTAGATTCAAAAAAAAAAAATGGTGTACATAAACGTTGAATTTCCTTTAATCACATTATTAAGCCAACAAAACATTACAAGATGTGCATTAAATTCATGGACAACAATTTTCTCAACAAAAAAATAAATAAAATAAATAAATAAATAAATAAAAACATAACAAACCGATAAAGAAAAAGGTAGACACTATTACTCCATTGTGACATTTTATCAAATACCTAACATACATACATAATAGATAGAGATGACCCACCTCTAGCCCTACTTAAACACAACAAAATGCAAAACAAATCAAAAGCTAAGTTTGACTTGATCTGTTATGTACAACAGAGAGAGCAACCATGAAACAAATAGGCCAATCTCAAAACAAATAGATGAAATAGAGGCTAGAAACCTTAGATCACCTGGTTCTTGCGATGCCATCCTTGGTTTCGTCACAAGCCAACATATTTCAAACCCAACTAAAACAACAGCCCGTCGGAAGCCCCTGGCCTCTCTCCACAATCGACAAACTTCAACGGCTTATGGAATCCACCGACGACTCCTCTAACTCGAACGTGCGACCGCCGAAGAAGAGGATCCGCCGACGCAAGCCGATCTTATTTGTCGCACGAAACATCAGACCCTCCTATCCTACGGTGATGATGGTTTCAGATTTAATGGTTTTAGCCCAATTGGGAAACAGTTTTATCATTTGTAGCCTATTTGTACATAACAGATCAAGTCAAACTAATGAGATTGGCATGTGTACAAAATGTACATTCTTTTATTCAAAAACAAAAACATAGGAAGAGAGGGGGAGGAAACAGAGACTAGAAGAAAGCAGAGAGGGGTAGAGAGAGAAACTGATAGACCAGAGGAAAGAGAGGGGTAAAGAAAGAGAAACAGAGAGAGCAGACTAACCTTTAAATCACAGTGGTGCTGTAGCGTGACGTCGCCGATACACCGGTAGAGGATGAACGAAGGCTCAATGATGAAGTGTTGAGACTAGGGCACACAATCGAGGCTTCAAGGAGTTGAACGGTTTTGTTGGGGACTGATTCTAATATGTTATTCTCCCAAAAAAAAGAAAAAAAAAATCAAATTTGAGTGCGAAATGAGATTTTTTTTGGCGCCCCTTTATTTTTGCTTGGCTAATTGTAGCGGGTGAGTACAAACCGTCACCATAAAAAAATATATAGCAGCACTTTAAGGAAAAACTGTGACTAAAACTTGATTTTTTAGCAGCGGCCAACAACCGTCACGATAGTCCATTTGTAGCAGCGTTTTTCGGGCTGCTGCAATAAAAAATGCTGGTAAAACTCGATTTTCTTGTAGTGCCAGTCGATATCATTTTGCACTAGTACAGCCTGTGTCCATAAAAATTAGATCTGGGGTCATGCCCTCTTTATTTTGGTAAGCCAACATACTTTTTGGCAGATGTTCCTTGATAAGCTACAACAAAAATTAGGGGCAAATCTATGTCATACATTCAAATTTAGTTGAGGCTTGGGAAGGAATTTAAAAATAGAAAGTGAAAAAGTGTGTAAAACTAGGTAAAATGTATGGAAAAAGGAGTGTGAACCTAAGTGAAATGTAAGTATATTTTATTCACATTTCGCTTACATTTTTCCTTTTTTTCCCCAAATTTTCCAACCAAACACAGTGTTAAGGAATTGATCAAGTGTTATCCCTATGATGAGTACATTTGGGTTTCTGTATCGCTGTATCTGGACATCATCAATCTCTCGTCATTGTTAACTGTTTTCTGAGATACTGAATAGTTAGAGAGATCCCGTAATCCTCTGAGTCTTTTCCCATTTTCCTCGCTCTTTTTGTACAATATGTTATGAATTACATAAGATTAAAGGCATGAGATGTTCATATCGTGTTGCTTTTGTACTGGTGAATAGCTGATAAAATGAGATGTTTTGCTCAAAGTGTAATGAAGTATCTGTTGAAATATAGTACACAGAATATTCTAGAATAGGCCTTTTTTTTGTTATGGCCATTATTTAGGCCTTGATTTTATTTCCTTTTTTATGTTATTTCCTATCTTGTATAGTTTCCTAATATTGTACATATCGATCTCTATATAATCGTGGGCTAAACTCAATTGAGATTAAGCCAATTCATTTTTTTTATTCTTCTTGGTATCAGAGCCTAAAAAACCCTAGCCACCTTGTTTTCCTTTCTCTCTTAACCAGCCACCACCGAAACCCCTCGTAGCTTACTTTTTGTGCTCCTTTCGGATACGATTAGCTCTACAGTTCGGACTCCTGTGGTTCTAAATCTGATCTCACAAGTGCAATGTGAAATATATAAATACAAAAGAGTCCAAATCCGGCAAATCTTTTGGAAAATCGATTTTGGATAAAAATGCCAAAAATGGACTGCTTTGCCAGATTACAGAGTCGCCACCCAAATATTTTTGAAAAATTTAAGAAACCCGAGACTCGTGCCAAAGGCCACTTATCCGTCATCACCAAAGTATCTTGGGTCGGGTACTTAGGTACGAGAGGGGAACGTCATGAATTGAGCACCCCACTCGTCCGATCAAAGATCGGCCTCTACTAATCATGATGTAATTCTTATTTACATTATATGCTCTTACTCCAATTATTAGGCTATGTTACTATATGACGCACACAAGTATAAATTAATTTGAAAAAATTGGAACATTTTGATTTCATATATGTTTTGAAAGGTGTTTGAATATGTACCACTTGAAAAAGTGAGCGCACATGTACATTTGATCAAATCATCCCAATTCAAGCAATTAACCTTTCACCCACAGGCATTCAAGCAAGTATATCAATTAAGCACTTAGTCTCATGGTATCATGTTTTGTCATGGCAACAATCACATGCATGAGATATGCTAAAGCAAATAAAAGCTTACCCCAATTCTCGAGGCGAGCCAAAGGAGAAACTAGTTAGAAAAATGCATGATTCTAACTAATGAAATGTGCCTAATGCGACACATGCAAAAATGCAATTAATAGGCTCGGCCACTAATTATGACATGTGAATCAATTTAATAGAATGCGGTTTTAAACACGTATTCAACAAAGTAATAAACGACAATACTTGTTAGAATGATAAACCGAGCCTCAATTCATGCAAGACAAATAGATGCAAACATGGGAAATGTTAAAAAAAACATGATGTTCTAAACTACCCATTATAAGCAAGTAAATAAAAGGGAGAAAGATATGGGATCACGTGGGATCGGAAGACATACACAATATTACATGTTTGCCCTCATGCAAGAGGGTCCGAATGAATGTCTTAGCTAAGCTAGTTAATTAATTATAACACCGAATTTAACTAACTATCCTAGCTAATTTAATAATTACAACACACTCTAACTAATTAATACAGATTAACAAACTAAACCATTATGGAATAACAAGTTCACTACTTTAAGTACAACATACCACTAAAAACAAATGTAACGAGTCCCGAGCCGAAATGCTAAGGATGGCTCATGCATGAAAGCGGATTTTAACCCGAAAATGCCTCCGTTTGGCTGCCAAAATGCTTCTGTTTTGCAGTCAGGGAATTGCACTATTTTTTCACCTCTGCCTCTGCTTTGTTCTGCAGAAAAAGGAAACTGCCTGGCTGAAAAACAAAAGTGGCTAGTGGTCCAGAAGTAGTGGCCAGCCGCCCATTAATAGTGGCCTGTCGACCACTAATGTTGGGTTTCTCCTACTGCAATAGACAGCAAACAGAGCATCCTCAAAGGATGTTTGTCCACCCTACCCTTCTTTATCATCAAACAACTCAAAGGAGTGGTAGGCTCGATTCGCAAGCCATTAATCGGTGCAAATTCATTGCGTGATGACTTATGAACCAAGGGATACAATTTTAATAAATGCACAATTAAAGACTCACGAACCTCCTCCTATCATGATATTGATCAAGGGAAGCGGTTGACTTTGAAACTTGAACCATTTTTCATCACTAGTTAGTATGAAACGCTTTAAGACTCAACAGGTTCAATTAATGTCCGATTGAACCCAAACCATTTTATTGTCTTGCTCCGTTTTACTGCATTGATTACCCCTTTTAATTACCTTTCCATTCATTAGTCATTTTAGTAAAAAATGAGCATTAAGTCCACTAAAGGAGGGAAGTGTCAAACAAAGGGTTGTTTTGGGCATGAGAGAGATGTTATGCTGTTTGTAATGAATCCGAAGAGATTAAACCATTAAGCACAACGATCTCAATCCTAAGCTGAAACAAACAATCGATTTTAAACGACTCTCAAAGCAATGGAAAAAAAGTCAATAAATGAGAGAAGTACATAGGTGATTAGAGATGAATACAAGTATGGAAAGCTTGAAATAAATGCTATCAACTCAAATAGATTGGTGTCTAATACCTAAAACACCAAACCTATGAGGACTATTACACTACAAGCATGCTAAATAAAGCTCAAATGAAACTAACAGCCTAAAATAGTCAAAAATAGCACTGAAATTCATATGGAAAGGCGTGAAAAGGTTAGCTACAACAATAGAGAAATTAAGCTAGTAAATAAGCATAAGGAGGGGTGGCTAACCCCTCCATTTTTGGGACTTTAAAACTATTTTTTTAGCCTTTGAAAACCTCTGAAAATCAGTGGTTAAAAGCTCAAAAAAAGTTGATGACAAGGTGGGAAACACAAGGGTAAAAGCCTAGAAAGCAAGGGTCAAATAGGGGTGGTTCACTCCTCTACCCTTAATGCCTTAAACCACAAGTTTTAGCCCATCAATACAGGTAAAAAATAGTACAAAAGCAGCAATAAATGATGGTAAATGAATAAGGGAAAGAAGCTTGGAGTTATACCTCTTGAAGAGAAATGACCCTTTGAATCACAAACCACTAATTTTACACCCTCAAGAGCTTAAAATGCAAGCTTAAACACTTCAGCAAAGAACCCTCAAGGTTTGGTTTGGAGTGTCTAGGCAAAGGGTATAGAAGTTGCAAGAGAGAGAGAAAAATATTTTCTAAAACTTTTGCTCCTTAAATTTTTCTAACCCTAAAAATATGAGAGGGAGTCCTCTATATATAAAAATATATTGGACCATCTCGGAAATATCCATACAGACACAATTGCTATAGTGCATGTATCTGTATAGACAGCTGGCACAGTTGGCAAAAAGATTTGAGATTTTACACAAGTGGGCGGCCGGCCACTAGGATGGTCAGGCTTGAAAAACTACTATTTTGGTCTAAAAACAAGGCACAGGGCTTGTAGGTTTTTGAGGCTCAAAACTGAGGTCCTGCTGAGGAATTCGAGCATTTGGACAAGCGTGCACATTCATCATTGGGTGATCAATAGGTGGCACCCAAGTCTTAAAGGCGGTCAAAAATAGGGTGTTTACAATTACCCTTCTTTAACAGAGCTCAAAGTCATGAAATGACGTGAGTAAATGTCAAAGCCCAGATACGACCCATTGTGACAAGGCTGTAAGACTTGGGCCAATAATCAAGACATAAATTAAATTGGCTAAGCTCGAAAGCTGCCTATGTATCTCTTTGTAAGGAATCAAACTAGCATAGTTCAGGGGC